CGTACCCACTTACTCTAATTTAGGACTGTGGAACACGAAAAAAAAACCACACCACACATCCTGAATTTTCTTTTATACTTGATTTATTATAGTTTCAATATTTTTAAATTGGGGACAATCAATTAAAACTCACCTTATTTTTGCTCCTATTGAGTTTTTTTTAATACCTTCTTAACTTATTTATTCTAAGCCTTTGCTTGGTATAGCTGAAATTATATTTTAATAGATTTTGATGAAAGTTGATATAATGTATGGTTGAAAATTGACCCACACCAAATAGGGGCTAAATTCATTCACCCGAAAATTGGTCCTAAATTTGGGATGAAAATTCAGAGTTGACCACAAGAAAAGAATTTTAGAGGTAGAACAAGAAAAAAGAAGGCGGCTAAGGAAAATGGGGACTATAATTTCTTTCTTCTTTGCATGACTGCAGTTTCTACGCATGGTTCCGTGACGACTTGGCCCAAATTAGTGACCAATTATATCCCAAATTAATTAGGAGTGGAAAAAATAGAATAGAATAGCAAGAGGAATATTTAGGCTATGTTTGGTACCAATTCTCATTTTCAACAGTAAATCAATTCTCATTTTCAACCACACATTCAAATAATATTTTCTATCACATCAATAATCTTATCTTCTTTTTCAACCACACATTTCCCNAAAAAATCCCTACTAAACACACACTTAATAAAAAAAACATTTGTCAGATCAAAGACTCAAGTTCTATCTAGAAGTATCTTATGAGATACAATATGTGCGCTCTTGAAATTTCAAGAAGATAAATATATGAGTGAAGGGCATCTAATTTATCTTCGATAGACAGAGGGGGTCATCATCCTGATCTTCTTCGACTTCCTCTTCATTTAGGTCTTGTGACAGTGCAATTGCAATGAAATCTTCATCCAATCATTTTCATGGATAATCTTTTGCTCCTATGAATTTAAGAGGGCATTATAATCCAAATTAGCATGACGAAAATTATTTACTGCCTAGAAATACATAGTGACGTCAACAGTTTGAATTTAAAAAGATCAAACTATACTACTTAAAGAATGAAACTTACGGACTACGGCAGAAACATCCCATCAGCATTGGACAGCTTGCACCAGTGCTGGTCCTGTGATTGGTGGGACCTGAGGCGGACTTCGAAAATTGGGCCCCCGACAGGGACGTAGCCAGGAATTTAGTTCGGGGGGGGCCCTCCCAGGGGTCCGCCCCCGAATTTTTTTTTTTAACTAAGAGACAACG